TTCTGACGCCACGGTCAATTATCTTCCAAAGCTCCATTAAATTCTTTTCCCTCTTTTATATGTCCATCTCAGTATGATGTGCCAATTTATGAAGTTAACCAACAATTGTATAAAGAATTAAATTTTTGTTAAAATAAAAGAACTTAGAAATATAAGCTGCCGAACTTAAAAACAAATCTGTAGGAAATATCAAATAATCACATCAAATAATAATCGATCAATCAATCAATACTCAGATATCAAATAAGGTGTTAGTATTTATTTATTTTTTTGAAAAATTAAGCTCTATTAAATTCTTTTCCTTTTTTGCAAATGAAACGTTATTTATAAATCCAAATATCGAAATTTACTTTAATTAATTAGTTAAACAAAGTCATATCTAATTTCTTAGTGTATATCACTTAAGGAATTTGCCAACCCCGCGATTTACATCGTAATTCTTTACTTCGCGACGCTTCTTTTTAAGGTCAACATAAATATTTTTCAAACGCAAATCATATTTCACTTTCACTTGTTACATTAACCAAAAGAATTTGATAATATGTAAACAGTTAGTAAAATAATACTCAAAGAATTTATATTTTGCGCTTTTTGAAAGCAATAAACTCGTACACTCAAATGAACTTGATCTTGACCTACTAACTTAAATTCTGTATTTTTAACTACTAAATAGAACAATAATGGTTATTTCTTGAATCAATTATATTTCATTCTTATATTCAACTAATAATTAATAATTTCTGTTATACTTATATATCGTAAAATCTGTATAGTTTATGTGTTTTTTGTGCAATATTATGGTAATTAAAAAAACAATTATATAGAGAACATCATATAATGTGTTAGTATGTATTTTTTTGAAAAAATTTGTACTTGTCATCTCTTCACATATATCATAAAAGCAATTCACCTATCTTAATTTAGGATTCTAAGTCTCGGGAAGGAATTGATATGAGGTTATTTTCCAGTGATACAAGATAAAAAAAAATCTACTATATACGAATGATTTGTGTAAAACCACTAACAAGTTTATATAACAAAGAGAGAAAAAGGATTTTCTTCCAGAAAAGGGAGTCCTGCACTCCACACAATATTTACTGGATACCTCACTGGTTCTTTAATCTGTTGTCGTCTTAGGAAAGAGAAGAAAAATTGGAATGTCACTGGCGAAATGAAACGATGAAGGCTTCTTATAGCTACAAAACTTGCAAAAGTTTACAAGGATACTGAAGAAGTGACTTAATTATCCCTATTTACCGCAATTCCCCCAAACCGGGACCGCTGTCACCAATGTAAAATAATAGATTTACGAGAGAGATAAGGGCATTTTCGAGATAGGGGTAAGGGGATTAAGGACTTATATGTATAGGGTCCTGTAAAGCAGAAGAGCGTTATGGGCTTACTTTTGAAGCCGGAGATATGCATACGCAGAATCTCGTGTTCTCCTAGTCTCTAGTGAGTCGGACGAAAGGAACATTAAAAAAACCAAATTAGAGTCAACAATATATTGAATCTACCCTGAAGTTACTAATACAATCGTTAACACGTTATTCTGCGCGTCGGGAGACGATGTAGCAAGATAGTGAAGAGTTGACAGTTGTACTAATATAATTACAGAGGTTAGTATAATGAAATCTGTTACCATATGTGTATATTAGGGCTTCAACCACGACACGTTCAGTCTTCTGGAACTCGGTCAGTTGAGGGTTGCGAACTTTCGAGCTGCCACAATAACCGGACTACACGCGAACTCTGCCAGATGATACCCGGCCCCCGGAGAATCACCGATTGTCGCGTACTGTTCGCGTACTGGACGCTATCGCGTCCAGCCGGAGTTCAGCAATTACTGACTGCCCGTTACTGACTACTCATTACTGCCTTGGCTGTCCCCGTTTTCCAGTTTTTATCGAGCTCATGTTTTCAATACCGGTTATAGTGCCAAGGTCGTGTTTTCGTTGAATTGTGGGTCCTATATTGCATTACAATAACAGTTTTTTGTTTGACGTGCTTTCTATGTTTAAACAATTAACAAACAATGCAATAACTAGGTCAATTTCTTTGTGTGATTTAAAATGCGAATTTTACTGTAATAATTATCCCTTATTTGGTTTGGAATATATAATAATTATCTCGAATAATTATTATCTTTTCTGTGCTACTTATCCCTTTAATTCAACTTCTCACTCACTTGCTACGCTCACATTCGAGAAAATAATTAGGAAGTCAAAAGTCAACACCAGAGGAACAATAATAACAAAAAGTGTACAAATATTGGCATTTGCAGATGATGTTGATATCATATCTAGAAGCGAAAGAGGGATGATAAAGGCATTTAATGCGATAGAAAGAGCGGCACAAAACAGTGGCCTAAACATTAACGAAATAAACACCAAATACATGAAAGCCAGTAAATCGACAGGCCAAAGAAACCTTCAGAATTTGATAATACGAGACTATACGATCGAAAGCGTGAAAAGTTTTACATATCTAGGTTCACTAGTTGCCGCAGATAACAATATCAGTGAAGAAGTTAAGAATACATATCGCTAATAAAACATATAATGGACTAATTATAGATCTAAGATCTAACAACATCACAAGAAAAACCAAATGCAAAATATACAAGACCTTGATAAAACCAGTCTTTGTATACGTATCAGAGACGTGGACACTGTCGAAAAGCGATGAGAACCTATTAGGTACATTTGAACGAAAAATCCTTAGACACATATATAAGGGGGCAAAGGAAAATGACATATGGCGCAGAAGATATAACTTTGAACTATGGACAGCATACAAAGAACCCAGATCGTAACATCCATAAAGATCGGACATTTGCGCTAGATGGGCCATGTTGAACGGATGTTGGAGACTGAAACGCCAAAACATATAATGAGGCAAACACCAGTAGGGAGAACGTCAAAGGGAAGACCCAAACTTAGATACATGGAACAAGTGGAACAAGATCTCAAAACACTTAAAATTACCAACTGGAAAAACAAAGCAAAGAACTGAACAGAATGGCGGAAAATCCTAGAACAAGCTAGGACCCAGAAAGGGTTGTCGATCTACTGATGATGATGATCACTGTGTACCACATAACACTATCTGTGTGTACCAATTATCTAACCACACAATGAAATTTAAAGCTTTGCTATGCGAGTCATACATATACATGCCAACTACTCTTATTAAGTTACTACATACCTTTAAAAACATAAAATCCAATTATTATTCGCAAAACTTATTCCACGCACGTGGACGCTCACAACAATTTATCATTTAGTAAGTGATCAGTACATCCTGAATCAATCACAAATTCTAAGTTATTCACTGTTTCACTATTAACTACATTGTTACCTAACTCAGTTATAAAACATACCTTAGACACTTTATCAGTTATATCATCAATCTCATGTCTTTATTTATATGTCCATGATCTCATGTGACCTATCCTGCTGTTGGGTGAAGTTGCTTCTATGCATTCCTCTGTTGTGTTGTAAGTTTCTCGTACCTCTGTAACTGTTACCTATATTTGACCCATTTCCTCTAAGATATTCTGAAAACCTCTTTGACTCTGAAAATTTGATCTGAGATTGTTACCTCTATTTGATCAATTTCCTCTAAAATCATTCTGTATACCTCTTTGACTCTGAAAATTTGTAAATCTGCAAGACCCTCTTGGATAACTTGTGGATACTCTTGCTCGACATTCTCTTTTATAATGGCCTCTTTTTCCACACCTATAACAAGATGTGTCAACATTGAAAGCAACTTGTTCAGCACCAACTACTCGACTTGCTCTTACACCCAGGCACCTCTTTTCTTCTTCACTCAATAACCTTTTCTTTACCTCTTCATATGATAGTACACCAGACGGTAAATTTTCGATAACTGTTACCACTGTTTACTGTTTCATAGGATTTTGGCAAAGTTAACAGCAAATTACATATTATAACTTGATCTTCAATTTTTACCCCAGTGGCTCTTAACTGTCTCAGGATTTCCTCAAATTCACCAATAAATCGTACCACTTTCTTTTTAGAAACAGTTTTCCTGGTAGCCACTTTTTCTCATTTCTTGCTTCTAAACTTTTCCACATATGGTACGCCTGTTGTTTGTCCCGCAATATCTCTAATTGTTGCATCGGAAACACATTGAACAATTATTGATTTGGCTTTATTGTTCATTTTTTGGAATTTTTTCATCTCGTTCTCGCTTAAACCTGTTGTGATTGTTTCGTCTTTTACACACTCTAATACTTCATTTTCTGCCAATATTATTTCCATCCGAAACTTTCATGATAAGGAATTCTCACCTTTTAGGACCTCAAACGGGTTAAATAGATGGATTGAAGTATTATAATAACTATATTATTATTATTAACTTATAAAAAAAATGTTCGCAACCAACAATACACATAAACCTCATTGACACATTCGGAAATAGATACAAATGAACTGCGCAAGTCTGCACATAAGAGTAGGTCTCCCCCTAGACGCTAGTCACAACAACATTCAACTCTACTGGACAGCTGTAGAATTTATAAATGCGCTTTACGAGGGCGCCAAATTTAAAAATAAATTTCGGTGTTTCACTATGAAACATGTATCACTGTGTACCACTTTCCCCCACTTACCCAATGTCATTACTAAAATTAATTTTATGTGTAATAAATTATATATAAATATTATATCCAGTTAATTTGCCTTTAATTGAACAAAATCCAACATTCTTACTAATATAAAATATAGCAAAATTAAATCATTTACTTTTTAAGTTATTGGAACTATTACATTTTAAAGCTACTATTTGAGGCCCACTGTTATCGGTCTTCTCAGATAGCTTTAAGTTTAATAAAAAAACTTGTTCTCAATAAAATTTAATTACTTTGTATCACTTCGAACACAACAAAATCTCCGATGTCGTTATTTATTTCTGATAGAGAATTAGAAACACATCTTTCTTTACAGCATTTTATTGATGTTTTCTTTTTTTAGCGACTTAACGTAGCGTTAACAAGAGCGAAGGCCCTTTTAATCGTAATTGGTAATGGAACTGTTTTGAAAACCGACAAAAATTGGTCCTCCTTCATACAATACTGTTCCGAAAACAGATCTGTAACAGGAAAAAGCTTTAATTGAGGCTGAATTGAAGAGTATTGAAAACTATTTTATCAAGCTATTTGGAGACTTTTTTAGTTTAAGGATATTTTTTGAAATACCAAATATATTTTTTTAAGTGTACTTTAATGTTTTAAAATAAATAAGTTTTAGTTATTCGTCCTGGTTTTATTAGATTTTTTGGTAATTTTATCCAACGACAGGTTCAGTAGAAAAATATATTATATTCTAGAGATGCAGCTGCTTCTAATTTGTCTATGAGTAGTTGCAATCACTGCGATGTCCAAAGGATTTACAAGACAAGATACATATATTTATTTTAATACCAGTTTAGTAACCTGCCCAAGGAAATTATGCAAACACGTTCAATATCAGAATCCTGCATTGCAATAGGACGATTCTAAAAGACCAAAAAAGACACTTTTTAAAGACAAATCACATGCTTATATTATTTTTCGGATACGCCTGAGTTGTGATTGTAATTAAGGTAAATAAATTAAATTTTTAGAAGAATTATTTTGTATTACCAAGTAACAAAAGAACACAATGTGTTTAGTTCGTATTTTGTAAATGATTTCCGAGGTGGAAATGGAAAAATAATTTTTGAGTTGAAATTATGGTTTATTTAGGTTTTTCGTTCTTTAACTCGATCTGAATTAGATTTTCTTTGTTTTCTTTCATATAATTTACAACAGTTATCTTATTTTTTTTTTCGTAAGACTTTTAAAAGTATTTTACGAAGTTTATTTTAAATTATTTAAGTTCTGACTATAGGTGACCTGAATGGTACAGTTAGTAACATGACCTTTAGTGGGACAATATGGTGTGAAATTTGTCAATAATAATGTGAAAGTCTCAGGGAGTTGGGTCATCAGCACTCCATGGATGATTTAAACATAAGAATGTCCATAGTTTGTAGCATTTTCAATTTCATTGATTCTTTGAAATATATTGAAATCTCCTCGTATATGAAATATATAAAAATGGCCTTATATATGTTTAAAAAATAAAACGAAGAATTTTTCCGTGTTTGTTAGTTCGTACAGAGAACTACGAACACTGGTTCGTATCTTTCACGTTAAAATACGCAAAAGTTTGTTTATTATTTTAAAGATATTTATTTCAGCGATTTCTTTTAATTTTTATACGTCGCAAATGGAATCTTTTACGTTGTTTCGTTATGTTTTTGTTATGTCAGCGTTTGTTTTATTTTCAAGTTAATAACGAATTTTTAAATTCGTCATTTGCTTTCGTTAAAATTTAGCAATTGTAACATTTAAAAATTGTAATGCGGAACATTTGTAAGTTTTATCGTTGATTAAATAAACCAAACATTTGGGTTATTCAAACATTTGGGTTATTCAATCAACGGTTTTATGTAGTATCTCCAACTCCTGGAGTTTGTAAGCGGATGACACACGTAAGTTTATTGTATTCTTGTATTTCTCTATGTAACAGTTTGTGGTGACACAAAAATAAATGTTAAATTTTGTTTTCTTAACATTTTATTTATTTTTTTTAACTAATCTTTTTTTGATTTTTATTTGAAAAAGATATTTTTTTTATGTTTTCTATTTATTTCCCTAGTTACAACTAGTGGTTGTAATAGGCATAATTTGGCGCCTCAAGTGGCGCCCTATAGTAAATTACTTGAGGTGTTTCTTGTTTATTTTTATTTTGTTTATCCCAAGAGATTAATGACCCCTTTATTTCATTTTTTGGAGTTGCCCCATTCCACGCCCCTCATCTTCCACTTATCCACGACCCCAGATCTCCTACCAAACCCTGAGTGCCGTTCGCACAAGTAGCGATTATTTTGCTTGCCTTATCTCCACCCCCAATAGTTTCTTCCCTCAATTTTCTACCCCCTGTATTAATCAACCATTTGGTATGCAAAATATTACCATTACAAGTTATAGATGGATGCAACCTACACGTGGGTTCAACATTCACGTGGGTTGAAGTCAAGCATTGACTACGTAATATTTAAACAAAAAACGAGATTTAAGATTATGGATAATAAGACCATGTGTGGTTTATGTGTAGTTCTGATCACCATCTTTTTACAGCAAGTAGGTATATATTTTCATTATTTAATAAACAGGGAAGAAGAAAAAGATAAGAAACTTGCTAGAATCAGGTACTAATCTATATTCTGGCAAGAAATTGGGAAGCATAACTCATAAGTGTAATATGATATTAGAAGATATCTAAGTATTGTCTATATCGAAATTTGAATTTATTTGAGACATTTATTTTGAAAAATCAGTAGGCAATAACGTTTTTTTTTAAATATAATACGATATTTAACTAATCAATTGCCAAATAACAAATACAACGATTTTTAGTATAAAAGATTTTATTTATAACGTTTTATATTCTTGTTCTTAAGTGTAAACACTCGACCAATAGGATTAGCCTGAGTAACACCGAGCACATTATGAACCTAGCGCTAACGGACAGACGAGGGAATACTTTTAAATGGACAACGATTGAACAACAAAAGATACGCTGATAATACTTTCACTTTTGCAGACAGTCTTGAAGGTCTGCAGACACTCGTCTCCAGAGTGGCCGAAGTAGCAGGTTTGGGCTTGATTTTAACATAAAAAAAACCAAATACATGGTTATAAGCAAAAATAGGATACCACCTGGTCAATTACTAGTTAACCAACAACCTATAATACAAATCACTAACTTTTGTTATCTGGGTGCAAACTTAAATGAACAGTGGGACCAATCGACGGAAATTAAGATCAGAATCGAGAAGGCAAGATCAGCTTTCGTCAAAATAAAAAAAATCTTTCTACGATATAAAATTGGAAATAAAAGTTCGTTTACTAAAATGCTACGTATTCTCCGTTCTTTTATATAGCGTGGAGTCATGGACTTTAACTTAAGCAGCACTGAAGAGACTCGAAGCATTTGAGATGTGGTGCGATACATACATGTTGGGGATTTCCTGGATAGACAGTTACCAAGGAAGAAGTACTACATATAATGGGTAAATATGCGCAATGAATAACGATATGACTTACTTCGGCCATACTTCAAGGTAAAGTGCATGAGAAAAGAGAAAGAATATCCTGGCTGCATAACTTGCGAAAGCATAAATTTTAAAACTAACTTTAGACATTTCATAAGGAAATTTCAGTCTAATATAAATATATTCCAATATAAATCGCCAATTATTACATTCAATAAATAACATAGGTACACACTTATCCACTTAAAGGAAAAATTAAAATTATGGAACATGTACTACCAAATCAAGAGTGTTTGGAAATAAAAAGAGCTAAAAAATATGTTTGTAGGACACAACGGTTTAATTGCCGAGGTTTTAAAAACATGCAAGACAATAAAAATCCCAATATTAACAGATCTATTTAACAGATGTCCCCATAATAGCAAAATCTGTACAGACTGGAACGAGAGCTAGTAACACAAACAAAAGGGAGAAATGTGACCTAAAGAATTAAATATTTATATCGTTGCTCAGTCAAGTGTACAAACTGTTTATGAAAATTTTTAACAAGCGGTTTACTTACAAAATTATCAACCGATATAACAGGCTGACGCAAAAGATACATTTCTTTATTTATACGTCCATGGATATAGTACATCAGACCATCTGCTTAGAATGAACATACTGATAGAGATACATCAGACCATCTGCTGATAATGAGAACATTGATAGAGACATATGAATTCTAACAAGCCATATTTCTTGCCTCCGTAGATTATGAAAAGGCATTAGAGAGTATCGAGATGTGGAACATAGAACAAGCTATTAATAATTATGGAATTAATTCGGCCATAATGCAACAAAAGCTTGAACAGGTCACCGTACCATTTATGCATAAAAAATGACCTATTAAATTTTTAATTAGGATACACACGCGCGGTAGTTTTAATTTTAACCAACTTAAACGTATTTACAAAAGAATCTCAATTCGACGAGGTTCAAAAGAACCAGCAGTATTTATACAGCAGACAAAAGTTACAAGAGTTCTTCTTTCTCCTGAAGTCTAAAGAACATTTTTTGTTTTCGTCCACATTAAAAATTTTCTCCTTAGGAAACTTTCCTTTATTGCAAACATCCCCTAAAAGGTTTTAAAAGTAGCGTAGTTTTCGGTACATTATACTACTTACTTGCTTTTTCCAACCCATTTTTTACTTCTAATAGCATCTATAGTTTTTTGCATTTTTAATGGTATTCACTCCTTCTGTTTTAACTTTGGCTTAGGTATTCTGAAACAGAAAACCAAAAGAATATGAGATATGCGATGGAAACTGACATTCATTCATTAAAAAGGCGGGGTACACTTTAGAAACAAGTACGGGGTCTGATTTAAGCAGCCATACTATCAGGTTTATAATACTTCGATGTAAACATGATTCACAATCCTTCCCGTTAAAGAATGTATATAGAGATTATAACTTATCTTTCAGTATCCTGCCAATAACAATCAAAAAGTAGGCCGGTTTTAATTGTGTGATTGAGCTCAAAACGTTTGTTATCATCTCATTGACCGAGTGACGCAAGCGCTCTAATACATAGCGGCGAAAGCATACACTAATGTTTAGTGGCATTCTCATTCTCAACAGACTGCAGCATATTGGAGAATCAGGAAGGCTAACGGTTGGGTTTGGGACCTTGGTCCGAAATTAGGTACTTTTCCTCGAATACTATTCTATGTCTAATTCAGAAATTGAGAACCACGTTTAGTTTACAACCAATTTGCGACTCGAATGCAAAATGTTGTTTTTTGTTAATTTTGACTCTCTAAACATGAATATGATCATAAAAACTTACTAACACGTAAGATTTTTGAGTTATGATTTAAAAAAAAAACTATTTTTTAAAAGTATTTTAATAAAAAATAATTAAAGTCATTTGTAATAATATATCGGAGCGAAATGTTATCAAATTAACGTTTTTCCTAAAAATTGTGCATAATTTGGCAACACTTGGATGTCTAAAGTCTACGAATAAAACACTATTTACTACCCATTTAAACCAATATATTTATTTAATATCTTTGTTCTCCCGAGCCGCATCTATTTTTAGATGGTCGATGGTATACGAGAATTTCGCCGTCGTTTCTCGACCTTACGATTTTCTATAAAATTCTACAAGTGTGGCACGGCTGTAAAA